AATAATAATAATAATAATAATAATAATAATAATAATAATAATAATAACAGCATAAAATAACAGGTTTGGTAGCTGGCGAGGCCTAGTCTTCAGTCTACTTTTGTGTGCGGCGGGCCGAAAGACCTAGTTTCCGCTCCGCGCTGCGGACAGGCTTTTGATCAAGGTCGGTAAGGCCGGGTTTTGAAAAATGAAAGAAAAAAAATTTCACGTTTGAATGCTTCCACTATTTTGGAAAATACTTGAAATTAATTTCAAATACCTGCAATTATTTAAAAAACTATTCATAAACATTTTCCCAAAGGAAACATTTAATTAAAAAATATTTTTAATTTGCCATCTATACTGGTATATATTTTGAAAGCCGTATTTTTCTAATCGTAAAACTCGAGAACAGCTGTACCGATATTTTTGAAATTTTGGACATCGACTCTAGAGATATATAATATCAACACCAAACTCATGAAAAAATGGGAATTAATTGAAAAAAGGGCATATGTGGTGTGAGAAATTCAGTTTGTAGGGGGGGTGTAGGTGGGGGGGGAGGGTGGCTCGAGCACCCCCTGCCCCTACCTGGCTACGCCCATGATTGCAGCTAACAATTTTTACCTTTTGGGATGCTAATTTCTTGAAAAGTAATGAATATCTAAATCCCGGGACTAATCCCGGGATTGTGAGAACGACATCATGAAAATCCCGGGATCGTACAAAATGAAAAAATTAACATCCCTAGTAGGTACATACCGTTATGTATAATGTGCATGCCCAATAAAATTTATAAAAAAATACATACAGAGGTCAAAAAATTATTGCCGAACCACTTTTTGCCAAGTTTTAACGTATTATTTTTGTTGTTATTAAATTTTGGTTACTTTTTTTATAAATATAATTCATTATTTAACAAATCCCTTGTAGAATATAAAATACATGCACATCCACATTATATACAAGTACTCTCAGAAACACATTCACGCATATTTGGATTTATCTTACTTAGTTAGGTAGCTTCCGAAAATAAAAATATCTATGTATCTATGTTTGTATTAATTTACATTAGGGCGGTCCAAAAACAATTTTTTCAGGCACTCACAGAAATGTAGAACATCGAAAATAGGGAAGCCCATGTGTTTTTGTGGTTTTGAGATTGATTAATATTTATTGAAGCCTATGTATTTTATATGTCCACTTTATATAAGTCATTTATGTTTTTAGCTGTATAAAAACCGCAAAACGACTCAGAATTAAAATAAAACTACCATGAGATTTATGTAAACATTCAATTTAAAAACAATTTATGTTTTCATCAGTTAAATGTGCTTCATATGCATATACAAATAAACATATTGCGCAAAAGCTTATACTTCTATTTCACACCAAAGCTACATTTTTTCCAAGTAAATTTGCAAAGAAGCAACACGGTGCTAAGGGAGCGGTGCGAGAGAGACAACTGTCAGTTTATCGAACCTTGTATTATTGAATCATGGCTTCGAACCTTAAAATTAAAGAAGAACCGACTTCCATTTTAAAATTTATCCCACTTGAGACTATTTTAAGTAGGGAAGCATACAAAAAAAAAAATTGGGTTAGGCTCTCATGGTCTCAAATATGCATAATAATTTTATGTTTTGCAGATTTGTGGAGGGAAATATTCTTGTTCGTTTAAAAAAAATATTTATTTTTTAACAATTTTATTGAACTTGAGGCGGTTTTTAATCAAAATTTATGGTGGGAAACAACAGTAGCAAAACTTCTACCAATCCACTATGGGAAATTTGACCCTATTTTGGGGCCAAAATTCTAAAAGTTGAAATATCAGTTTAAAACTTGGCCCAGTAGTAGGACTAGAAGTAGTGGCCTTGCCGCGCAAAAATTAATCCGCAATGGTGACACCTCCTAAAAATAGCGTAATGGTCACACGGGGTCCAGTGGACCCGAAACCCATAAACAGATGCCTCGTATGTTCTATTTTAAATATCGACTCGAATCCTCCACTGACCTTAAGTTTAAAACTTTCTCTTTGTTATCTGATAGGTTTTTTTCCAACTTTTAAATTATAGCACCGTGAATTATTTCACAAAACTCATGATTTTGTACCAAGTAGTTATCTAAGAAAAATTATAATTTCTTTAATATCGCACAAAATTGCAGTATAAGATTATGGGGAAATAAGAGATCAGGGACTATTCTACCGATTTAGGATGAGTTTTTTTTAAACGTTTTTAAACATTTTTTTAAAACACTAAATAAACTTCTTCTTTTTTTTTTAATTGTACAATTTCACTTTAAAGTCAACAACCTTTAAACTATAATTACAGTGACCATCCGTCTAGTATTATACGCGACAGTCCACTTTTTTGGCCCATTGTCCTGGTAATTCATTTATTTTATGTATGTTCTGTATTTCTCTTAATGTCCTATATTTGTCCCGGCTTCGGTGTTTCGCCGCCTTAACAGCTCATTAAAATGGCATGCCTATGAACGAGTTTTAAGTGATGTTTGTATATAACGTAATTTTCTCCATAAACAGTTGTTATTTTCTAATCTGAATGCCTGCGATACATACATTGACCACAATAGAAATTAGGACTCGACATTTTAGTAAGTTTTGGCTATTTGGCTAAAGTAAAGCTCCTTTCCTAATAAAACCCATATAATACCAAGTTTCCAACTTTGTGCAAAAAACTATAAAAATTAATTCTGCAATGTTTCGCTAAAATTTCAATCATTTTAATTAGAATCTTTAGAAAAAAAATTTGGTTTGCAGTTTTGTAAGTCATTAAAATTGAGTATTATAAAGTGCGAGTGGAAAGTCCTGCTCATTTGCTTCTCTTTTAAAAAAATGGTCGAACATACTTACTTTGTATGAAAAAAATGCGTAACACCGTCAACAAAAAAATTGCTAAAAATTTGTGGTAAGCCTTAGCGACTTAAAATTGCACTTTATTATACTAAAATTTAACGAACTTTTTAACAAATCTTACGGGGTAAAAATCTCGAGAAAATAATCCCACAAATTTGTTATGTTACTATAAGGATACAGTCTCAGGGCTAATACATCTAGGATTATTTAAGAAGGCTTTAAGATCTGTAAGCTGTTGTGGAACAAATTTGAAAAATTATTTTTTGTCCCGTATTCGGCTCTCATAAATATGGTCACCGTAACTATAATAGAAGTTTTAATTGGTAAATATTCTGCTAACCGTCACTCTTTCTTTCCACTTTTCACTTTTGAAAAGCAGCAAATAGATAAGGAGATACAAGCATTAGAAAGTGGCACAAAATCAAGCTACACACTTTTCGTTTACAAAAAATTTCGAAACTATCTGTTTGAGGGTTACCAAATCAACGGTTAGTCAATTTATCGAAAAACAGAGTTTTACTTTGAAGTATTCTCTGTAAGATAAGACAAAAAAAAATAATTTCAAGCAAGTCAAGAAATTTACTTTTGGCCACAAAATAGGCTCAACTTTCCCATAGTGCAATCGTTAAATTTCCACAATAACTTTTCATCAAAAGCGGCCTCAAGCTCAATAAAATTATGGATATGTTAGGCTAAAAACAGCAGAGGAAAAAATCACAGGTAAAATAAATATTAATACGCCACAATATCAGTGTCACCACCATTAAATTCTAACCGATTCCAAAAGAAAAAATATGAGATCCTTTTTGTCCATTTTCTATATTTCTGGAGGTGGCAGCAGGGAAATTCCAAAATGTGGATTTCCCTGAGTAATTTTGGACCACCCTAATATGTATGTATGAACATGTCAGTTTGGGCAATAATACTTAATTGATTTTTCCTTGAAATATTCCACCCAACAACTGCTTTAACAATCTACTTACAACATTTTAGGAGTTGGATATGGACAAGTGTTCGGTACGGCTATTGTGTCCACGTACTATGCCACTTTGATGGCTCTTACTCTTCGTTATTTGATAGAGTCGTGTTATCCGACGCTGCCCTGGAGTTATTGTCGCGAAGAGTGGGGCGACGCCTGTATCGATTCGAAGCTCAATAAAACAAACGTTTTCACAAATGAAACTAAAGTGAAAAGCACATCGGCGGAATTTTATTTCACGTATGTATTCAAGTAGGAATTTTACAGCAGCTTTATTTTGAAAATCTCCAACTTTAGAAAAGTAATTTTGCGAGAAAAGGACTCCATACATGATGGAATAGGTTACCCAAGTTGGTCGTTAGCCCTGACACTAGCTGTTTCTTGGCTCGTGATAGTCTCCATACTTCTTAAAGGCATTAAGAGCTCGGGCAAGGCATCATATGTCCTTGCACTTTTTCCCTATGTGGTTATGTTTATCCTACTCATACGTTCATTGACACTGCCAGGCGCTCTCAATGGTGTTTTGTATTTTCTGAAACCTCAGTGGGATAAACTTCTAGACCCAAAGGTATGCTCTTCAGACTAACAAGTATTACATATTAAAATTTTAATTACTTCCGTTCTTTTGATAGGTATGGTATGCAGCTGTTACTCAAGTATTTTTTTCGCTTGCCATTTGTTTTGGAAACATAATCATGTACGCCTCGTACAACCGATTCCGGCACAACATAAAAAGGTAATATCAATACCATATGAACTGTACAAACCTTTTGCAGAAATACATATTTTTTTATTTTTAATATTTTTTGTGTAGGGACTGCACAATTGTCACCACCTTAGACACGTTCACTTCGCTTCTCTCTGGTGTAATCATTTTCGGCATCCTCGGAAACTTAGCTCACGAATCAAATACCTCTGATATACAAAATGTTGTAAAGAGTAACACGGGACTCGCGTTCATCTCGTATCCAGACGCCATATCTAAATTTGAGTTTCTACCACAAGTGAGAATTCTTCAGACGTTGCTTTGACTTTGTAATTCGAATGTTGTGTAAATTGTGTGTAAACGTTCAGGTATTTTCCGTGCTCTTCTTTTTGATGTTGTTTGTACTGGGTATCGGAAGCAATGTGGGCATGGCTTCGTGTGTTATGACCGTATTAAAAGATCAATTCACCAACACAAAACAATGGATTATTGCTGTGGGCATCGCTGTTGTATGTTATGGAATCGGCCTTATATATATAACTCCAGGTGGTCAATATCTATTGAACTTTATGGACTTCTACGGGGCGTCGTTCGTAGCTTTAGTATTGGCGATATTCGAACTGATCGCTGTTGGCTGGATATATGGTGTGTTCATGTAAAGATAGTAAACTGACTAATTCTGACCCTATGTTCATTCAATTTTAGGCGTAAAAACCCTGTGTCATGACGTTTACTTCATGTTGGGTATAAAAACTTCTCTCTATTATCGGATTTGCTGGGGATTAATTACACCCGCCTTCATGGCTGCAGTTCTGATCTATACGCTGGTGAACTATACGCCCTTACAATACAATGGCTATACCTATCAGGATGGATTATACAGTATAAACAGCGGAAACTCTTTATCTGTAATTTGTAAAAATATATATTAAATTTTTTTCAGTTTTTGGTTGGTGCGTCTCAGGTTTCGGCTGTGGTCAACTACTTGTTTGGGCTATAGGCGAAGTTTGCTACCGAACCAGTGGGACAATGTGCGAGCGGATAAAGGAAAGCTTTAAGCCCGAAGCCGATTGGGGGCCATTGGACCCTGCTACTTTGAAAGAGTATCAGCTATTCAAAACAGAAGAACGGACAAATGAAATGTTTAAAAAAACTGGGATCTGCTACAAAATATACGATAATATATTTGGTTAGAATTTAAGTACATATCTGTATATAAGTACATAAGTAAATAGTTTAATATCGCTGACATATAATATGTATGTACATTAGACTGTCCCAAGAATATTTCGAAAACAAATTGTTTGCAAATTTTTATATGAATACGCTCTATATTTGTGTTTTTTATCCTAAATAAGATACATACATATGTACATATATTGAAGTTTGACCGTAAGAAAATGATACCCCGTGCCGACTTTTAGTTGAAGTTTTAGTTAATAACTTGAATTAAGGCTTCCAAAGTGTTCATGAAAACTATGAAAAATTCTATATGTTTTCCATATTTGAACGCATTTCTAGTAAATCTGCACCTTTAAATTTTAAAAGGACGGCAGAATTAAATTTTTTTAATATCCTTTGAAATGTTTATCCTTTACTATCCCTATACATATATATCTATATCATTTAAATTAAACTAAGATTCTTCAAAATGTACTCAAAATTCAAAATCTTGAAGGATAATATTTTTAAAGGACATTTTTGTCATGTTCCAAAAGGATGTTTGAAAACAAAAATTAATTAAATATAACTTCTTTCGAGTTTTTCTTTCAATTGATGCCCATATATCCATATTTTGCGTAAAATTTTGGAAATACATATATAAAAATTAAGGCTTCATTGGAAAAAATCCTGAATACCTGGTAAAAAACCAAAAAACGCAGATTTACTAAATATTATGCCGTAATACTGCAGGGAATATAGTAATACCGTCTTACAGAAGTAAAATGAAATCTTATTCTGATAACTTTCCGAATTGCTAAAAATTTGATTCGGATAGTTTTTAAGACAAATCCAATAAAATGAGGGGGTATGCGTAAAAAAAACTTTGACTTTGGACGGTCTAATGTGCATACTTACATATGTATACCTGGTTATGTACATATGTATATTCGATTGTATACACCGTTAAATGCATTTTTTAAGTAAGTTTAGATGAATTTTTAATTTAGCTGAAAATTGTTGGTATTTATGCAAAATACTAACTCTTTACTCCAGAAGCGAACGTCTAACAGAGGGTTAATTTGCCGAAATTACCAGTGGCCGGGTAAACCCTTTAACCGGTAAGAGTGCCTCAAGGCACTCATCCCTTATTTCGACATTTCGCCTAAAAATAAAAAAAAGAATAAAAATCATAAGATTCTTGAAGATTGGAATGCTTTTCGGCTATTAGTTTACATGGGCGTAGTCAGGTAGAGGGTTGAGCCCCTCTCCTCCCTTAAATTTCATTATGGCTACGCCGATGCTGTGACAAAACTTTTTTTACTGACAAATTTAAACTTTTTCATATATTTTCACGATACTGATACAGAAGAGAGCCGCTAACCTAAAGGTAAGATATTATGCTTATATTTTATAGTCTCTTTGATTATCAAAATCATGAAATTGTGAAATTAGAAGCAAAAAACTGAAGAGTGCCTCATTGCACTCGTGCGGGTTCTGATGTTAATTTATTGTTCTTTTGCATTGAAGTTTATGTTATTCAATTCCTTTGCATTATTTCACATTATTTGTATACTTATCTAGTGAATGGCATATAGCGGTAAAAGACGTATAAAGTTGTCCGCATTGAACGAGTTTCAGATGCACGAATTTATGAATTCTATTGAAAGTGTCAAAGAAGGCGATGTTAGCGGTTTTGATGATAAGCCCAGCTACATGTGTATCAGGGTTGCTGCGAATATTTTTCCGAAATAAAAGTCCTTTCCGCTTAATAAACAAACCGCCTGTCCAAATTATACAAATTTGGTATCATATGAAAGAGGACTGAAATAGCTTTTAAACAGAAATAGCGAACGACCTCTATTTATATTTTTTTATAATTTAATACTAAAGAAAAGCATATACCTGACACAAGATTTGATTTATGGTAATTAGTTAACATTTTTTATTGAAATATTTTTCAATATGTGGCTTTCTTCGTTTAGACATTTCAGTTTTAAAGCTATTTAAATCCTTTTTCATTTGTTACCAAATTTGTTTAATTTGGATAAGCGGTTTGTTTATTATCCGGAAAGAACTTTTATTTCGGAATAATATTCGCAACAACCCTGATATGTATGTATGTGCCTTATGAAATCACTTCAGAAGGCGACAAGTTTATCTCAGAATGCATTGACAATAGTGATTAACAGCTATCCCCAAATTAGCGCGTTGAGTGTTATACGGTGTTTACATGGGGCGATTTTAGTGGCAACTTTTAGTTGAAAGCAACAATCGCCTGGTTGAGGGGCAGCCAACTTTTGATTAAACTAATCACCTCTAAAACTGCGTCGTGTGAACACCGTTTTACGCTAAAAATAGTGTATCCTTGTAAAGTGCTGAACACATTGAAAACGACGTGCTACGGGCCACAGCTTCCAATGTGTTATCTTCATTATCTAAACGCTTTGTCGGTATAATATTTTTTTCAACGCGGCAGTGACATCATGAATTTGTATGAGTTTGACGTAAAAGAAGAGGAAGAGCCTTATCTGTCGGTGGAAAAATAGAAATACATAGAACTAATCTGGCCACACCCACAGTCGTCGCGTAGCCCTGTCGTCGCCAAAATAATTAACTACATAAGAATACGTGGAAAAATAATTTGACAGCTGTGGTCCGTAGCTCGTCGTTTTCATTGTGTTCGGGCTATGCCACATACAATAGGAGCGTTCCTTATCTCCCAGAAATAGTCAGAAAAAGTCCGAAGTAGTCAGATTTAGTCCAAAAAGCGTTCCTTAACTCGGAAATGGCAGCTAAAATGAGAGAGCAACACCCAGTGAGAGTGACTCTCATCAGTCCGAAGTAGTCAGATTTAGTCAGAAGAATTTTTTCTGGCGAAATCCTGAAAAGTGTCAAACTCAACTAAATTTAAATTAACGGAAATTAAAGAATACGCAAAAAGTGAGAATAATCTAAAAAGTAAATAAAGTGAATTGAAATTGGAAGGAGGCAAAAAATAATTGATATAGTAAGTGTTTATTGTGCTTGTGCTTGTGTGAATGTGTTTTGTACATACATTTCCATTCTTATTTGACGTTAGCTTTGTTGTTGCCATTCTTTGGACTAAAAATTTGGTTTTTTGCGTTCCTTTACTTTTCCTGTTATTCTCTTTTAGTGAGCGCATTTTGCTTACGCTCTGGCATTTTGACACTTTTCAGATTTTAGTCCAAAAAGATAAGGAATGAACCTAATTTGTTCATATTAGAAGAAAACAAGCCGACAAGCGCAACACTCAGTGCTCTTATTTAGGTGCAGTGTTGCCAGAACTTCAAAAATAAAAAAGCTAGATTGGCCAAATAAAAAAACTAAATAAAAGCTAAATGGAACAAAAGCAATGGTTAAAAAAGGACACCCTTTTCATCAACATTACATTAATTCTTATGTAAAAAAAATGTGGTACAAATGGATCCCGTGCAACAAAAATGTAAATATCCCGACAGCCAAAGTACCTAAATGGTCATGAAACTTCATGAAAGCCTTGTGCAAACATTTTTGAACACCATACCGTTTAACAAAATCATAACAATAATATGACATGCTACATATGTACTACCAAATATATTCATACATTACAATATGATTACAATCGTGAATGTTACGATTTCGGAGGAGAAGTAATAGAAAACATCTTTTTTAGTGTATGCGATTTGACAGTACTAGATGCAAACTTCGAAACCTATCCGGCGAGTGTTTCAGGCTTGAGTCACTCGTGGAGGCTATGCTGCAAAGCATTGAAAAATGGTCGGCAGCATGCGATGTATTAGCAGAGCCGATGAAGGGGCTAAGGACCCTGGAATAGCTGCGGCATAGCAGCGGCGACTAACTACCATTCTCCCTCACGATGAATAGCACCCCGTGGGGTGCGGAGTTCTAAGAAATCTATATTTTAATACGCTAACATGAATTTTGTCTCCGTTCGCTTGGTGATTCTACCGAACCATTTTCCAAACCAAGAACACCAATGGAAAGGTTTTTTTCTGTAGATGTAGCAGAGTTTTTATGGTTTCAAAATTGGTTGAAAATACGGCCTAAACCGTCGTTTAAACATTTCCGTATTTGTGTATAGATGTTGCTGCAACATGTTCAATTTGACATGTTTCGCATGTGGTTTCACTTCACATTTGAAATTAAGCTTTGAAATAAAGATAAATATGAAGATGAAGAAATGAAATGAAATGATGAAGTTAAAAAAAAGAAGGTAAAAGTGAAGATAAGGACGAAAATGGAGACAATGACAGACACATAAGAATTAGTGTAAGAAAATTTCTTGACTTTCGAAGTGAAACTTCTGTAGCGGCAGTTGGTTGGTTGGGAGTAAATTGTCAAATTCAAGGGGAATAATGCACGCCGAAATGGTTCTCAGCGGTTTGAGAATAAAAACAAAGATGCCTATAGATGCGTATGACATGACATGGCATTACATATGGTATGTCATCATATGACATGACATCAGAGGATATAACAACACATGACATGACATCCTATCACATCACATAAAATTACGTCACATCTTATCACGTCATCGCACCTCATCTCATCTACGTGAATAGAAAAAGAAAAGGATATAAGCAAAGATGTGAAAGATAAAAACAAAGATGAAGACCAAGGTAAAGTTACCGATTTGAAAACCAAAAACACCGTTGGAAAGGTAATTTTCTGTAGATGAGGAGAGTTTTTATAGTTTCGGAATTGGTTGAAAATCGTCGTTTAAAAATTTCCCTATTTGTGTATGGTTGTTTTTGCAACCTGTTCAATTTATGCTGTTTCGCATTTTGTTTTACTTCGTATTTGAAATTAAGCTTTGAAATAAAGATAAATATGAAGATGACGAAACAAGTGATAACGATGAAGACAAAAAAGGCAAAAGTGAAGATAAAGACGAAAATTTAGATAAAAATGTGGAGATGTCAAAAGTAAAAATTTATAAAGGTATCCAAAGTTTTTACATTTTTGAGTTATCGAAATTTATCGAGCCATCGAATTTCACAGTTATCGAAATTGGTCGAGTTAACGAATTTTGTTGAGTTATCGAATTTTAGTGTTCTTGAAATTCATCGAACTATCGATATGTATCAAATCATTGAAATTTATCGATAAA